GGGGGGGGGGGGGGGGGGGGGGGGGGGGGGGGGCGCCGAGGTGGAAGAGGGAGCCAGCAAGGGCCCATCTCCCTGTTTAACCACCTGCCTGTGGGAGCTTGGCCGCAGGCCTCGACGTCATAAATAAAGGCAGCTAATGTAGCTGAGGGATGTAAACAGGTGCCTGGAGATTAGCCGAAGCGCCGATAAGAGGATGGGATGGCTCGGGTTCCCTCCCCTTCCCCTGGCCAGCCCACTGACAGACAAGCCCAAGCGGCAGCTAATTAGAGCTCTTATTTAATGCTTCCCTTTTAATTCCCTACCACTCCCACGGCCCATCCATCGGCCCCGGGGAATGCATTACTGGGATGCGGACACCAGCACCTCCTTGGGCAGGGAATGGGGCAGCGGGGAGGCTGGGCTTGGCTCTGGGCTCCGTGGTCCCCCTCCCCCACCAAGCTGGTCACCCATCTGCTGAGAGATGCCAATCTCCCGGGCTTGATTTATCTCTATGACATTTGTGCTCCTCAGCAGTTTTCAGGTGAGTAATTCAAATTCTTTAATTGTGTTAAAAAAGGCTGTTATAAAATTACCATTTTATTTAAATCCGAGTTAATAAATTTCTTGGCGGAGGCTTCCCCAGCTCCCCACAGCCGGCTAACAAGATGGATGGGGCCGAGAAGGAGCCAACACAGTGATTTTGGTTTGGAATTACAGGCTAATAGATTCATTCATTTCCTGAAGCTGCTGTTGGCTGTCTCCTCCCCTCCCCCCAGGAGTGGACTGGCCATGGGGCCGGATGGCCGGGGAGCAGGCCATCCCAGGGGAGAGGAGAATCCAAGCCAAGAGAGCCTCGCACATTCGAGGGGCCCTTCCCCGAGGCCTGAAGGGGGCAGAGTGCATGCAGGTTAGGGCCTAGATTGCTGGTGCCCGGATGATGGGTCATTTGTTCTGGGCAGACCTTTTCTGCCTTCTCATTAGCCTTCAAAGAGCTGCCAGGAAGCAGCTGTCATTTAGCCCAGGGTCTGCCTGTGCAGCAAAGACAGCCTTCCCTCAGCTCCCTGAGCGCCACTGGGGCTGGAGTCCGCTCCAGTGGCCGGGCCCAGCCCCATCATCACCCCCGTCCCGTTGGGGGCGGCGTGGGGAAGTTCAGACTTGCCACCCGCTGCCATGAGGCCTGCGAGGCCTGATGCCCTCTGATCGGTCTTGCCTTCGTCCAGCTGGAGGAGCAGCTGAGCCGCCTTCAGCGTGAGAAGAACGAGATCCAGAGCCGCCTGGAAGAGGATCAGGAGGACATGAACGAGCTGATGAAGAAGCACAAGGCGGCCGTGGCTCAGGTGCCCCACCACACCCCACACCACAGAGGCTGTCCCTGTGGTCCTCTTCGGGAGCCCCCACAGGCCACCTCTTTAGGGAGCGGCAGGCCCGCGGGCCCTGGCACAGCACTGGGCGGGCGATGTGGCAGGCTGGGGTTTGTGTTCACGGGGGATCCCGCTTCAGCGCGCACTCCCTTCCCAGGCCTCGCGAGACTTAGCGCAGATGAACGATCTCCAGGCTCAGCTGGAAGAAGCCAACAAGGAGAAGCAAGAGCTGCAGGAGAAGGTGGGGACCAGGGTCTCCCTTGGTAGAAAGAGGGTGCGGGGTCACTGTATGTAGGGACGAACCCCCAAGCTTATAGGATAGCAAGCGCCCCTCGGTCGTCAGTAATCCACAGAGCAGCATCAACGCATGTGAAGGCCTAGGCCTGGAGCCATATCACCAGAGTAGACATTTTGGCTTCAGCTGCCTCACTTCACATTTCTCTTCCCTCCCTGGTCCTTGGCTTTTTCCTTTCTCTCCAAAGGGCAAAATCTGCCAGCGTTGGGCCGGGTGGGGAGTGCCTCTGGCTCGGGGCCCCCATCCTTCCACCTCCCCTGTGCATCCCTCCCTCCACCTTCTGGTCACCATGGTGATATCTTGCCGGCCCACACTCTGCCCCCTCCCCTCGGGGCTCAGTTCTTTCTTCTCTTCCTGCCCCCGCCCCCAGCTCCAAGCCCTCCAGAGCCAAGTGGAGTTCCTGGAACAGTCCATGGTGGACAAGTCCCTGGTGAGCAGGCAGGAAGCTAAGATCCGAGAGCTGGAGACCCGCCTGGAGTTCGAAAGGACCCAAGTGAAGAGGCTGGAGGTGGGTGCACCCTCGTCCTGGTCCGCAGCCGAGAGCAGGGTAGAGCCGCCCCGGCGGCTGGAGCCACGCATGCTCGGCAGCGCTGGGCGGGCCACGGCCGCTCCTCAGAGCCCCCCCCCCCCCC